TGCGCGGGAGCTGCCCGTCTTCTCGTAATTACCTCCCTTTTCTCTCCTTCCGTCCTTCCTTCCTTTCTTTCTTCTTCTCCCCCCTCCCCCCTGCCGATATCCGTTCTTCTTTTTCGACCGCTCGCATTCCCTACCATTTTTCGACCTTTTCTTCTCCTCTGTCGCCGGGTATCTGCCCAACGTCACGTTTTCGCTCTGTTCTCCATCGAAACGCTGCAGAGGCGTGCGAGCAAAACGGTCCGCACAACGGTCAATGACGAAGGAACGATGTTACGATCAAAGATTAACGAATTTGCAGATACAAACATTGCTACGGTAAACTCAACTTTGGCAGGTGCATGTCTGCCAGAATATTTAATGTATGTACAGTACAGTAGAAAAATCCAAATTAAGGTAGAGATATAATTTTAATAGAAGAGGAGTTAAAATAGTATCTTTTCTATCGCATTTATTGCTTCTCTTAACACGTAACAACCAACGTACACGCGTAGATACTAAAAAGCTCATTATTTGAAGCCACACGGAATTATTAACTCATAAATTCTACTTCTGAAGTGGACCGAAACCGAACGTTCGAAACGTATAACGTTATAAATAACGTAATAACGTTACGTATGCTGTTGCTCTAATTGGCCAATAAAATAAAGAACATTCGTCTCGACTGTTATCTATCGATGTTAAAGAGTAAACAAATCTACAATTACTCGTTTTTACGTTGTTTATTCGATGCATTTACCGTTGCGCCATTCGTTTCGCCTTCGACGATCGGATACGCGAAAATTCGAGAAAAAAAAAACCTCGAAACCGCATCGTCTTCGTTGATTCGGCGAGAAAACGAACCGGAGTTCGAGAACTTCGACATTGTCGACAACTGACGCGCAACCGTGGCCTTCGGTATTTGACGAAAATGGAGCCGGAGAAAGGCCTAATCAAGGTGGCCCGCCAGAAGTTTAAACTGCCTGCGGTCGAAAGATGACGCAGACTTCCAGGTATCTACTTACGTCGGTACGGAGTCATCGGGACAGGAAAGCGAGCGAGTGCTCGTCCTAGACACGGTTATGGAAACTTCGAGGACGGAGGAAACCCGCGGATGAAAATCGAGACAGTCGGTTAGCCACTAAAAGCACGGCTTTTTACACTTTTCCGGCAGCCCGTCGATTTTTCTTCTGAGCCACGAGTTGGCAAACATTCGTGCAAACAGAGCGAAACCTCCGTATTAACCCTTGCATCGATATCCAAAATACAGTAAAAGTACGAATATCCGGCATACTCGGGACTGGGGCAATGCCGGAAAATCAAATATGCCAGATAATTGGGCTATACCTACATATTAAGTGATAAAAACGAAGAATATAATCACAGACGAGGTATACGTGTAGACCTTACATCCAATGTATTTTTTCGGCCCAAACATTATTAACAGGTTACAGAAGTCAATACAAGGGGAAGTGAGACAGAAAATGAAATTACAGAAACATTTCTGGTCACACATCATATTTTCGGTATAGAATTTTTTTCTCGAAACTGGGTGGGATTTCGTGGCTATGTCTATTCACCAAAAATGATTGTAATTGACCCCTGCAACCAAAAATAATTTTTTTAGAACGATTTAAAATTTTTTAATTTTGTCGAAAAATTTCACACATTCTCGAATTTTTTTCTCGAAAGTGGGTAGGATTTCGGTGGTATGTCTATTCACCAAAAATGATTGTAATTGACCCCTGCAATCGAAAATAATTTTTCTAGAACGATTTGAAATTTTTGTGTTTTACCAAAAAATTGAGGCCCGATTTTTCTTAAAAATTTGTTTTTGATTTTTAATTCATTTGTTTGGCGCTGTACGGAAATGTTGTCTAATACTTTTTTGTAGGTATCTATGCGCACTATTTCAGGAAAAAATTTCATTGAAATATATTCACTATTGTAAGAGTTATTGCCGTTTGAAAATTGGACCATTTTTATGGGGTTTTTCTCATTTTCCGGGGTCAAGGAACAATTTTTCGGATATTTTTTACATTTCTACACATTTTTCACCAAATCACGCGTTGTTTACCGTTTGAAACATTGAAATCCTCCAATCCGTTCAGAAGTTATGACATTTTGAAGATAAGCATGAAATTTTTGAGAGACATTTCTGGCTTGAATTTATATTTTTGGTAAGGCATTTTTTTCTCGAAAATGGTTAAGATGACCGGGGGTATGTCTATTCACCAGAAATGATTGTAATCGACCCCTGCAACCGAAAATAATTTTTTCAGAACGATATGAATTTTTTTTTCGCCGAAAAAATTTAGTCACCTACCCGTGTCGATTTTTCTTGAAAATTCGTTTTTCATGTTTAATAAACACAATCAGGGGCTATGTAGTAATACAATTTATTAATAAAAAATAAAATATATAAAACTTCTTTTTTATGTGAAATATAATCCGTAACATTTATCGAAGAATAGTCGAGTTAAATCGGAACTTTACTGTACTCATGGGGTGTTCAAAAACCGGCATAATTGTTTTCTTTCTATATCTTATTGACAACATGAAATTTTTTTGTTTAAATAGAAAGGAAAGTATTTATTGTACTGCTTGCCGAATTCGTCTAAATATTCATCGAACGATACGTGTAAAAAATCTTTTATAAGAAAGCAGTGATCCTAAAAATTTAATATACTCGTCTTGAATATATCCACATTCTCCGAACCATGTTACCCCGACAAAAAACATTTTTAACGGATCGCTGGTAACAGAACAAGTTGAGTTGATTGAGTCAAGTGGTTCGTCCTGTACGTAGCGCGTACGTCAATGGGGTTAATCTCCGACGAATGGAGCAACTACCGAGAATAGTTGGTTTTAGCTAGCGTTCGGATCGAATTTGAAAATCGCGCGTGCGATCGCGGGTGCCCCGGTCGTCTCTGTATCGAAACGTTATCTGGTGGACTGCAGAAAGGATCGTAAGGGTCGGCGGGAACGACGATAGCGGAGCCTAATCCTTCGAAACGGTCGAAATCGTGACATTAAGCGAAACCCTCGGTCGTTTCGGAGCGACGTCGAGACTTCTGACCGGCCATTCGGCTCGAAGACTCCGGTAGTCTGACGTCGAATAGGTAGTGTTACAGAATGTAATGCGTGTACGAGACGGGTAGCTGGAACGGCGGGCGGTTGGGCAGAGAAGGGAAGCGAAAAAGGGAGGAGAAAATCGAGCCGAGCCGGGTCGGGGCCGCGTGGAGGGCGAGCATAGGTGTTAACATTTACTTTACAGTGATCGCTCTCTACGCCCGGGCGATGGTTTAATACTTGAGTCGACGACGTGCTTGGTCGACACGCGAGAGAAACGCCGCGCGTTCTGCCGTGGCGCCTATTTAGTTGCGGGCACCCACGTATGCTCGCCTCCAGTCGGGCGTATTCGCGCCAGAGGAAGCACGGAATACGTATTTCCGTGGCTCGTTTCGAGCATCCGTTAAACGGTTTACCGATCGTTGGCGCCGTTTCGCGATTCCCTCCTCGTCCTCGCTTCGAGAACCTTGGTCGTCGCGCGCGCTGGCCAGCCCTCGGATCAGCGTCGGCGCAGATTCTTTTAAAAAGGACCGAAAACATCGGGACCACGCTGGTAATTTCGACCGTTATATCGGACCATTAGCGCTTGCAGGTTTCTATTTACATACGTTAGTATTAGAGACCTGTAGGACGTATAGTTACACCGGCCATAATGCAGGCCCGTTAAATACTAGAATGACCCGTGGGCTTACAGGCCGCTATGAGATGTTAATACGACCGGCGGAAAACACCGAGGCGACTTCCTCCTCGGTTTACCCGCTCTCTCTAACCCTCTACCTACCGTATCTATCTTTCTCCGTCTATCGTGCAACGCCATCAGGCACCGGTCCATCGAGTTTTCCGTTCCATCTCCGTACTTTCCTCGGACATTCGGTACGAACGAGCTCCTCTTTCTGGCTCTCTCTGCCCCCTCCGACCGGCCCACAGACACGGTCTTTTATTTTATAGTTATGCAGCGAGGACACATTTACTACGGCCGCGGCGAACGTTTCGTGGTTTCAGCCCACGACGCCCGGGCTTTTATTGTCTTACGCTTTTTATCCCTCGAACGCGCCACCCTTTACTTAGGCTGGACGTACAATTCGCAGGATGACGCAACGCACCCCGAGTGTTCTCAGCGCCACGGCGCAACGTGCTTCTAATTGTCCTTGGCGTCCTTTCTAATTCATTTGTACTTAATTCCCGTAAAATGGACGATACGATCCACGATAACTTCTCGTACATAAATTTCACGCGACGCTAATCGATTCCGTATCTTACGCATCTGATCTCGACTTTCCTCACGGCGAATTCTTTTTTTATTTTCCCATATAAATTTACAGTCTGCCTACGAGCAATAAGGAAATTATCTGGTGGTTAATTCGCATCGATTCCATTAATTACGGAATCTGGAGTTTGGAACTTGGCCATTTCAGATTTCACTGTTGGAATTCTCAAGTCCTCTCTTACAATTTCGTTTCGTTCCGAGTAAAAATGGCATAGGTTTGACGCGCTCCGAGCAACGACTCGAGTAGAGATAAACAGGGCCGAGGAAAGGCGCGGAGGCACGAAAAGATCTCCACTTTGTACGCGCGGTCACGGTTCATTCGATGTACCCCGATCCAACGATCGATGCAATATAATTGTACTTACCTAACTGGAAATCCCATGATAAATACGATCCTTTTGTTGGGCCGTATAACGCGGCAAGTTTTCTATGTTAAACCCATTGTCGTCACGATACAATGTTTGCTATACATCAGGCGGCCTATCGAGGGGGCTCCGTACACGAAGAACGTGCCCGGGCAATTACTTTTACGCGCCATTCTCCGGACCGATCGTTTAAAATTATTAATCGCCCGATAATTTTGCTGGAAACTGCTCGCGAGAGAGACAGGGACGGAGCGGTTTCTGTTGGATGCAAGCAATATCGACGGTAGGAATCGTAAAGCCGTAGAACAAATGGTACTCACTTTGTGTAGAAAGCGTGGTTGCACTCGGAACAGGCGAAGTTGCGTTTCCGGCCAGACTCGTCCGACCATACCGACGGAGGCGAACCGCTGCACTCTTTCTGATGGGCGTTCAGGGCTGCTCTTCTCGTGAAAGACAAGAAGCATTTGGCGCACGGAAACGGACGCTCGCCGGTGTGACTTCTGATGTGATTCCGCAACGATACTTTCGCCAGGGTCTTCTTGCAAACGGGACAGGAATATTTCGGCACCGATTTCCCGCCGTTACCCGGTTCGTCGTTATCCCCTCGAACGGCCCCCGAGTGAAGAGCCTCGTGAAAGATGAACTCCGCCCGCGAATCCGTTGAGAAACTACAGCTGCCGCATTTCCATCCGTCTTTGACGCCTGCCGTTTTCGCCGTTTTTAATTTATTATCGCCGCGACAGTTGTTCTCCCTCGTGTGTCTCGTCACGTCTTGCGAGAGGGCGAACAGCATGCCGCACCTCGGACATCTGATGCGAAAAACAAAGAGGAGACCGATTAACCCTAACCCGACCGATATCAGGTCACTCTTCGCCCGACGCTCTAGCCTAGTACAGCAGCAGCACCGTCTATTTATTCTTATCAGTGTAGCATAAGCAACCAAACAAAGTTTACTGAATTAATATTATTACTGTGTTAATATGTTTTACTACAGATGAAATAATTCACTAGTACAAGTATCTTTAACCCCTTGCTATACAATGACGAGTCTGACACAAGTTCTTGATGTCAAGTTTCACAATCACTCGTCATCGTGTCTTACATATGTATTAAAATCAATACATTTTTACATTCACGAGGTATTCGTAAAACAAATCTGTTCTTTCTCATTGTCATTTTTTGTACAAATTATTTAAAATTAAATCGTACGTCAAGGGATTAGTATTATACGTACTGTAACACGTGTATTTAAATATAACAAGAACTATTAGATAATATTTGATTCGTAAAATGTAAATCTGTACATAGTTCCGGTACGGGTGAAACGTGAACCGATATTGGGCCCACCGAGGCCTGTTCGTCGAGTATTAACCAAGGAACCACCTACCTGTGACAAAGCTCCGGGTGACGTTGAAGAAGATGGTTCTTGTATTCCGACAAATTCGATTGCTTCTTCTCGCAATGAGGACACTCCCGAACTGTGCTCACCGACAGACCCTCTGCGCTGCGCTTGCGAGCCTTCACGATTTCCTTGTGACTGGACGTTCTCCGATGCAGGACAGCATCCCGCGCCGTTGCGAACTTCATCGAACAAAACGAGCAGAAATAGGGGACCGTCTGATTCGAGTCGTTTGTCTCTTCTTTGTCGTCGTTTCTCGCCCCGTGACAAGTGAACTGGTGACGCTGAAGGGCAACCAAAGACCTAACAATTTGGGAGCACAGATTGCATTCGATTCGCTGCTGATACGCATCCGTGGCGGTCGGGCTCTCCTTGTGACCGGTTTCCTTGACGTGCAATCGAAGTTGTAAATTATATTGAAATCGGCGATCGCAGCTACCGCAGAGTAACGCCCGTTGACGACCGACCACCACGGGCACCGAACCGTTCATCATCGAGACGACGTCGCGATGGCTCGTACTCGTCAAATGGGAATCCATCCTCTCGTTGTCCTCGCACCAAAAATCGCAAGGGGTGCATTTGTAACTGCCGGCGATCTGGTAAGAAGGATCGATGATAAAAATTCTATGAAAATGTAATACCAACCCTTTGAGTCGTAACGCTTTTTATGCTATTACATTTTATTACGGCACATTTATATGTTTTGCTTTTTATATTCGTACAAGATGCCCAAATTGTAACGATATCCTTCGTATAAATGTTATTTTTTAATTTCATGTCTTCCTGGTGAAAAATGAATGTATGTGTATCTTATAATCTAAAAGAATCGTATGTAAACCTATGATCAAAGATGTTAATGCGACTTAACACTGGAACTACCGACATTTATGGTATATGTATTTGTAACAAAGAAATTGAAACGATAGATACTTGAAAATAAATGTTTATTCGTTCTCTTATAGAAAACCACGGTAAATGTGAAAACATCCAGTCAAGTAAATTTTGTACAATTTTTATTAGAAATGGGTTATTTTGTACACTTCGATAGTTCTAGTGTTGAACGAACAAAGAAGAAAAAGAAGATTTCGCGATTTCTACTCGTTTAATTTTCTTTTTTTTTGATAAGTAGAATAGAAAAATTCGTGACTCAAAAGGTTAATCGAAAGGAACGATACGTGAAATGCAAGGTGTAAGTTTGGCAAAAACAATGATATTCAAAATTGTAAATTTACGGATTTGAGCGATCCGAAACTATTCAATCGCGTCATGTGTGCGTACCTTTTCGAGTGTCTTCGCGTGATGCTCGGAACGCCAATGAAGCAGAAACGATTCCTCCGTGTTGCAATAAAAACGACACGAGGAACACTGAAAAGGGCACTGCCGAACCACATTCGCCATATTTTCCAGTAAAAAGCGACGCGCCCGTGGCCCGTGAGGATTTACGCCCGCGATGCGGCAGTGATAATGAGAGAGCAAATGCTTCCCCATTTGTGCCCTTCTCACTCGTGCATGGCACATTTCGCAACAGAGAATCTCCTTCTCCCTTCTGCGTAAACCCTTCTTGACTTCCTTCGTCTCTGGTGCTTCTTTCGCTCCCTACCGATCACACGATTATCAGTTCTATCGAAGCGAAGAATAACGTTCGAAAATTATTAATATCTGATACTCCGCGAAAAAGAAAACTTTGTAGAACATACGAATCAAAATTGTGCAAAAAATTAAGAAGACTGTGATCTTTACGTGATTGCGGGCCGACATCTTTTTTCCGAGGTGCAGATTCGCGGCACGCGGCAGGCAAAGGACGCCATCGATTTCACGGATGCTCCTCCTGGCGTGCAAATCGGAGAGAAGATGCCTGTTGTAGACCAATCGAGAGGCTAGTTTCCTGCCGCAAGGACTGCACCAATATCCTGACTCGATATCCGTTCGCGCGCCCGGTACCCATTTCCCTCGCGTGTGTCCTGGCGGTGGTTGTCCGGCGTTGCTCTTGGCCTCGTACTCCTCGATTTTCTGCGAAAGAGCCAGACATTTTCGGTTGTTCCTCGACGAACGAAAAGCTGTCTGGACGACTTACCTGCGAGGTCTCAGCGGGCCGCCATTTCCCACCCGTATAAGTCGGCGGCGGATGTTCTTGATGTTCGTCTTCGGGGTCCGCGTCGTCGTCGTCGTGAAGTTGAGACATATTTTGAGGGAGATCCTCCAATTCTGGTTTCCATTTGCCACCGGTATGACCGTGCGGCGGACCTTCCAGATCCTCGGCGTCGTCCGACTCCGAATAGGAGTCTTCATCTCCCAGATCTTCCTCCAATATATCGTCGTCCTCGTCCTCGTCCTGCTGGTATTCGAACTCGTATCTGGGTAAGTCTTTATTTTCGTTGTTCGCCACCAGTTCGGCCAGTATGGTGTCCTCCAGCCACGTCTGGTGAACCTGGTCTATCCTCTGCGCCTCCTCCTGGCGTTTCCTCTCCGTTTGCTTGGACTCGTGAGACGTCATCAGACTCTCCAAAGAGTTTTCCGGTTCGTGCTTCACGGGGAACGCGCTGCTCTCGATGCTGGTCGCGACGTGGCCCATCGATTGGCTTAATTTGTTCCGAGTGGCCGCGACCGAGGGCTTGCTGGACGCGGAAGACACAATATCGGGAAACCCGACCAGGGACGGGATGCAGAGGTCCTCCAACTCCGAATCACCGGGCAGCATACCGTGCAACTTCTCCTTGGACGTTGATTCCTCGCCGTCCGCCTGCGTCTTCTGGCCCTTCTTCCTTTTCTCCTCCTTCTTGAACTTTCTGCTGTCCTCCAGTAACGTGGCCGACCTACGCGGATTCGATTGAAGCTCCAACGAACTGAAAAACGCGTCCGCGTTCAGTATTTCGGGATAGGTGACGGTGGTCGGAGTCGTGGGCGACACGCGAACCACTACGTTCTTGTCGTCCGGTGGCCGACATCCGGACTGACGATGCCGTACGTAGTTCTCGAGACCATGCACCGTCAGGTGACATTTGATGCAGAAGTGAGTGTCGTCGTCGTCCTCGTAACTTTCCATCGATCATTCGTCGTCGGTGACACGACCTGAAAACACGCATGCCGACGCATCTTTCGATCGATGTTGATCTGTTCGAGCGAGCAAAGAAAGATGATAACAGAGGCACGTCGACGTTCTTTGCAAGCGTTGTTATCTCGTAACTGAACTCTGAGGTACACGCAATTTGATCACTCTTGTCTCTCTTTATCAGGAATTTGCTCGTTTTCGAGGAGAAGAACAAATATAATAGCTTCTAAAGAACAAATACTATATTATATTTGTAATATAATTTATTTGAACCTAACCCAGACTCTTATCCGAGGTTCTCTTCAGAAATTTCAGCGAGTACGAACGAACAGTAACGTGTGGAATTTGAGAAATTTAAATACAATAACATTCCGAAGTTAGATTGTGCTCAAAGAGGATAAATTAAGCGTTCATGGTTATTTGTTGCGTTTAGCTATTGTTTTGTGTTTCAGAATATGATAAACGAAAACCAACGCAGCAGCTGAATACAACAAATAATTACGAATACTTATTCATTATTTATTTATTAATTCAGTCACTCGAGTCTTTACATAATGATGTATATATATATGAGTAGAATGGCATAATCTAGGTGCAACTCCGGGGTGGATCAAATAAAACTAATGTATCAAGATAAAATGGTTTTAGTTTTATTAACACTAGATTTACAGATATTCGTTGCACATATTTCTATTGTCGTTGCGTTGACATTCACGTTAAAATGCAGTTTTTCTTTTAATTAGGATCTATAGTCGTATCCTTAATAAATAAATAATGAATCCTCGAATCGATGCGTTCAGTACACACCTAGTGTTAAAATATGTGGAATTGAAAATTCTCCGTACTCATACCATAGAAAAAAATTATTAACGTTATAAAAAGTATTTGTGCGGCGTTGGCTCGACGAGTAGGACGACTGGTCAGTGATCCGAAGATCGCGGGTTCGAAACCCAGCATCACTGGATTATTTTTTACTCAATTCCTACCAAAAGAACACCCTTCCACTACAATTATACAGAAAATGAAAAAAAAACGACTAATTGATAATGGAGATGCAACATCATGGGTGAAACCATGGCTTTTTAAAGGTAAATATCCTCCCTCCGTTCGATGTCAAACTTTCTTAAATTAGTGTATCCGCAAATCGGTTTAATGTCAGATTGAAAAGTTACGTTTAAAATTCGCAACTATCTTTTAATTAGCTATTTTACTCGCAAATATTTTTCTTTCATGAAGATTAAAAAGCTGTATATTAACTTTTGTTTCAGTGGTAAATCAACGAAGATGCATTTCTCCATAATTAATTAGTGTTTCTTTCTTTTTTCATAAATGCAAAAAAAGTGTTCCTTTCGAACTAAACAAGATTATTTTATTCTGGTGTAAAGTTTTTCTTCGATCTCACGAGTTCTACCTAGACTCATAATTCTATTAAAAAGCAACCCCATTGTTGGACGAAATCATATTAGGTATCGTCTGCATCGCGAAAACCCGATCGACGCAAAGTAATTTTCTAACGAAAAAGCAACGGTAGAAAAATTTTACATTTCCACCTCGGTGACCGATCAGTAATTAATGACCGATAACAAAGTGTTGGGGAGAGCTGCGCGACACTGGGAGAAAGAAATATCGCGACACTCGAAAGAATACACTGTACCAAGGTCGAAGCCTTCGACGCGTCTCCGCGAGAATTTTGGCCGCCGCGTCGCGACGGAGAGGAAGGCGGGCCCCATCCGCTTCGGACGGGTTCCTCGCGAAAAAGTTGGCCCGGAACGGGGATCACGGACAACCGTGATCGAAGAAACGATTGACGGGCCGCGGGTATGGATTGCGCGGAAAAGGGCAGTGTACCGCATTAGCGAACCGCACCGGGCAAATTGAAGGTCCGATATTCGCGGAACAGAAGGGAAACAAGTTGACGCTTCGTACGAACTAGGGGTAGGAAGATCGGTCGATGCCGCTTGGCCGTTATTCGGACGACGACACTTCGCCTCCCAGTCCTGGCCGACCCTCCGCCGTCCTCCCCAGCCCGTTACCCACCCCTGCTTACTTCCAACCATCCACCGCCGCCCTCCACCCCTCGACCCCGACGCCACCGCCACCGCTCGCCACCTCACCCCTCCCCCAATGCCGCCCGGACGCCCTCCGCTACCTCTACCCCCGGCCTTGTTGCGCCCTTTCCGTTTCCCCTTTCCGAAGTCTGCGAACCGGCAGCGACCTCGTGGCTCCGTCTCCCTACACCCTGTCTCTCGTCTTTCCTCTCTCCTCTCTTGTCTACCTCTCGTCTTATTAAACGGAGAAAACTACCAAATGAGATTTCCATCCGGCTCGAAACACGCTAACCCGCGACCCGATCGCTTCACGCGCGGATCGTTTACTTTTGACGTGACTCGAAAAGTCGATTCCCAACGAGATAGCGGAACTCGGGAATTATCAGGCAAAATCTGGCCCTTTGACGGAAGCCTTGCCCTTCCTCTTGCCGTTCTCTTCCGTTTCCCCTCCCGTGCTAACTTACAGAAAAAAACGCGGCTATTGCCCCGGACGCTATCTATTCTTCGTACACTTTTAATATCGCCCGAAATTCTTTTCGTAACTGTTGATAATATTATAATTCTCGTTACTGCTCTGTCGTACGCGTCGCGTACCAGACTAGAATCTGATACGTTTCGAGAGTCACCCTTGTCAGGGAACTAACGAAACTAGATTTCATGAAGTTTATTCAAATCTAACGCTTAATTTAATTTTTAAGTTTAAGAAGAGAAATAGTAGAAAATAACTCAAAGAAAATTACTCTTGCATTCAACACATTTGCACAATAATTTTACGAAGTGAGAAAATTTACAAACTTGGGTGTGACTGGCTTAATCCTCGTACAATATATAAATATTTTTCCCTAGTCAGTGACTTAATCTATACGCGTCAGCCATCGTCTCGTTGGTGCTTTTATAGATTTAATATTTATAAATTGATCATTTACTGCACCCCGAACGAAGCGATGCCTGACATCGATATGTTTCTATTCTCCTGTAACGCGTGTGATTAATTACAATTATGTCTGCACTTTCAGTCGGTTCTTCCAACAATCTTCACAAGTACATTGCTTCTCGGCTTCCAATAGGGTCGTGTTCTTTGCTTTCTGGGCTCTCGCCGCTATCATAGTTTGCATTAACCCTTTTTATATTTGAGACAAGGTTCTGTTGTACCACCCAGGTATCTCAACACTATTTTGGCCTCCGTCCAATGATCTCCGTAGCATGAGTCGAATTGGCCAAGCACACTAGCAGCCTAGGCTAAGTCAAGTCGTGTGCAAACTGTTAGGTGCATTAGATAGCCTACCAGTTGTTCGTAAAGTAACCTCGACGACTTATCGCTATCATTTTTGCTCAGTTTCTTTAACGTCTGTGTCCTTCTATTATCTCAAGCTTTCGACAATTCTGTTTGTAACGCGGTGGCAAGTTACGATACATATAGTATTCTCATCCTGGCTAGCACCTTTATTCCATTCGCGATCTTTATTTCCGATGGCGAATGCTGACTCGCCAGGCAATGCCCGCATCCCTTAAATCAGTTTGTAGCAGCTTGGATTTTACCATTTCTCTGGTAAGCTCTATATTTATTTCACGTAACGTCACGACGAGTGGGCCGTATTCCGGAGGCAGACCGCTCAGCATTATCGCTGATAACAATTTATCATCGTGACGCTTTTTTAATATATATTAATTGACACGCGTGGTCACAATATTTTAGAACGATCGATTTCAAGTTGCTCAACTTCGTATTAGAGAGTCGAATCGATAGCTGCAACATCCTCCCGAGACTCTTATCTTGGGAAAGCCTTCTCTAGATTTTCCCAAGCGATACGCGAGGCATCTGCGCTTCGAGCACGCGGGAAAACCTCCTTGACACTGAGACATATTTTTGCCAGTTCCTTCCGTCCCCTCGTCGCGTATAAGATGCGTATTTCCGCGATGAATTTCCAGTCATTGCGATTATTAACATTATCTAGTTTTTCACGTGGTAGCAATTGGAGTATCTATAACACCTCTTTGTATTGGGAACCATTGCTTCGCGAACAAAAATAATGTTTGTTGGTTATAATTGAATCAAATAAGTATAAAAATTTCTTCCCGTTCCGTCTTGGCGGTCAAGCAGACGATTGCTAGGGGGCTCAACGCGTGTATCGTCGGGTATCGACGTATCACGCAAACGGAGTGTTTGTTACGAGCGAGCAAACAAACAGGGACGGTGCTAGACAAACGCGACCCAATTACGCGTAGGACGGTCCCGTAGTAAATTAAATATTTGCGTAGCAGGGACAATCGGTCGGAGCGGCGATATTAATTGTATCGTTTTGTAGGACATGACGGAGGGGGGAACGACGACAAAGGCACGGACGAGCAACGAATAGGAAGAAGAGGACTAAATCGAGCGGACAGATCCGTCGAGATTTACGAGTGTTTGTAGTAAAAACAAGAAAGCCCGTTAATTGGCCAGCAGGCCGTGGACAGCGTCGAGACGTCGATACGTCAATATAATATCCAACTCTGACGTATCGCGGCCGGAGACTTCCAGCTAACCGATGGTCGCGTTAACGTTGATCGACGATCACCGACGACTAATCCCTTATTACCCATCGTGCCACGGAAAAACTATGGCGCACCTGCTACCGTGGTGACCACGTTCTGGCCTATCCCTCCGTTCTCGATCACGAAAAATAACCGGACGACCAAGCGGTAAGCGGCGCGAGGTCACTTCGCGATCTAGCCGCGGTTACGACGAGGAAGGAGAACCGCCGAAGGAAGAGGAGGGACGGCCGGGATACTTGTTGAACGCATGAACTAGACGAATTCCCTCTGTTCCGATGCCATGCGAGGCTAAAACGCGAGAGCGTACGCTGCGAGTAAACCGGACGATGCTCGACAAAAGGATCGATCGTGTCTAAAAAAAAACGAAAAGACTAGAACCAAAGTTTTTAAAATTTCGATCAAACACGCGAATGATATCGCGAAATATTTTTGATCGT